TCAAAGTAGGTTTAAATAAGTATATTGGTCAGTTAAATAGGTTCAAAGTATCTTCAAAAGTTTGAAAGTAGCATCAAAATTTCGACTCGGGAAGGACACCTTTGAAATCTCAGATAAACAAACAGGCGGTTTTATATCTCAAACTGTCTGATACGATTTTTGATCTTCACAATTACGCCGACGGAATCTCCCGTGATGTTCCAAGCTGAAAATTTTATTGTGATAAACTCGTTAACATAAACATTCTCTATTTCGTAACTGTCTATGCTTCGCGTAATGGTGGAAACATAAAAAATTAAATGCGAATAAAACAAAATGTCACGAAAATAAAATACTAATTATATATATTTCGGCCGAGATTTCAAAATGATTGTTAGAAGAAAAGCGAGAAACTTTTACAAAAAATACATATAATAAACAAATATTAAAAGTGTGATGCATTTGATTAAGAACAGTTTCACAGAAAATAATTGAAACAGCAACACGTAGTGTAATACTTACTTGTTATACGTTCGTCGAAAAGATGATGACACAATGTGTCATCAGATCGTTCAACCGAACTAGAACGTCATTCACGCGGCGTTGGAAACGTAATGTGAAAAGATGTAACATCTATAGATAAAAATTTTCTCTAGTTGCATGCGCGTAAAAAAAAAAAAAAAAAAACGATTGTCATTCGAGTAACAACACAGAAAAAAAAAAGGATGCAAATTCTTGATCGGCAACAATTTGGCGTAAAAGCGCAATTTCTGACATTTTGCGGTAACGACCGACATCGAAAGAAAGAAAAGAATATAGTCCGACGAGCGGCTGTACCTTTCAAACTGAATAAAAAATGAATCCTAATATATCTGGACGTCGTCGCGCGAACGTATCGAGCGTATCGCGTCAGTTACTGTCATTACACGAACTCGATGGCGAGTGAACGATGGAAGGACGATATCGCGTACGCGATGACCCCCTTCAAGTTGTTAACGTGGCCCATAGGCGTTTGGCCGCTCCAAGTTTATAACGTCTGCTCGCTAATACGATGCGTCGTGGCTACTTGTTGCATGGTACGAGATCCTCGTGTGTGTCGAATTCCGACGATCTTTTGACACGCGATAAGCTCGGTAACGTAGAACAAACGACGAGTTCTGAGACACCGCGCGCGCCGATGCCTCGAACAAAATTCAATTCAAATTTTTTAATTGAAGTTTTTGCAAAACATACATTTGATTGATCGCGATGACAGTACCCGAGTCGAAATTTAGCGTCTACATTGAACCTCAATTTTTGAAAAAAGGAAATTTCGGACGTATAGCAGCGTCAAAGTAGCATCTACTTTTTTTCTTACTCCTACTTTGAGCCTATCAGAGCTTATCAAAGCCTGCAATGCGCAGTCCGATCTGAGAATTGAACCCTACTTTAAAACTTTAGCAGGAAAAAAGGAAATTTCGGACGTATGGCAGCGTCAAAGTAGCATCTACTTTTTTTTCTTACTCCTACTTTGAGCCTATCAGAGCCTGCAATGCGCAGTCCGATCTGAGAATTGAACCCTACTTTAAAACTTTAGCAGAAAAAAAGGAAATTTCGGACGTATGGCAGCGTCAAAGTAGGATCTACTTTCTCTCTTACTCCTACACCGAAAAAATTGTATTCTTGTTTTGAGGATATTCCACTTACTTTAAGTATATTTTATACTAAAATAGGCGCCAAGAAGAGTTTCTTATTTTAAGAGGAAAATCCTCTAAATAGTAATATTGATAAGAATATATACTGATTAGAATATAAAAAGTCTCTATATAGAAAAACATATATATCTCACTATCGAAAAAGACTATATTCTTAAATTAAGATCTTTATTTAAGAATATATTCTTAATTTCAGGTGAATATCATCTAAAATCTTTAAGAAGATTTTTTAAGTATAAAATCTTCTACTTACAAGAATATAATTTTTTCGATGTACATAAAAAAAGAGGAATTGAGGTTCAATGTAGACGCTAAATTTCGACTCGGGTATCGACGCGAAGAAATTTAACGTTCTTCTAGCAACGTGGTTGGTGAAACGCTTATTTTTTAGGAGCAACTCGTCGCACGCAACACCACAGAAAACTTTGTTAATTGTCGTCTTTGAATAAAACTTAACGTCATATTCGAAACACAATTATATCATACACCTAACATTTTAAAAAATTGAAAAACATAAAAATCGAGTTTTTCAAAGCTGTCAATCTTTTTCTTAATATTAACAAATTCCACAACTTTCTACGTAATAAAAGATTGTAATTACGCGAAACATCAGTTTTTAGAAGCAAGTTTCTTCAAGAATAATTTTTTAACATTAAAACTTTACCACTTTCAATGATTTATCGATCTGGAATCGAAACATATTTGTTTTTCTAGACCGAAAAAACGTTGTTTGCCAATGAGAAAATATATCGTTTTGCGCATGTACCAACAGAGCACAATAGTGATCTTGCCTTCCATGGAGATTTACATGGGCTGCACGAACGCGGAGCAGAACATAGACAGCCTCATGCTGATCTGTTGCGGAATACTCGGCGTTCTAAAGACGATATGTTTCCGTATTCACGCGGAAAATTTGACCAGCAATTACGGCTCGGCCTTGAACGATTACACGACGGTCGAAGGCAAGGAATATCGCGCGGTCATGCGAAGACACGCTTCCATCGGCAGGATTCTCTCCTGTTCCATGGTGTGCTTCTCGTATTTTAGCGTTATGATATATTCGCTAATTCCGCTTCTAGGTGATACCGAAGACGTCTACGTCAATGTAACGAGCGAGGAAATCAATTTGGAATATCCAATGCCGTCTAGATGCGCGTTAAAGTATCTCAGGATACCGACGAGCGTTTATATTGTGTACAGAATCGTCTGTTTCCTCGAGTTTGTCATTCTAATACTTACGTGCACCTGCAATCACGGTAACGTAATCAAAGAGAAACAGAAAAAATTTTTACATCTTTATTATGCTAAAAAATATATATATATATATATATATATATAGTTTATATTTATTATCAATTTAGTAATATTTTGTTTTTCAAGGTAACGACTCTTTATTTCTCAACATAACGTTGCACATGTGCGGCCAAGTGAAAATTCTTAAGGATCGATTTGTGAACTTCGATATCGTAAGTTCGCGAGTCCACGATCGTTTCAACGCTTTGATTCAGCGACACGGCTATTTAATAGAGATAGCCAAAAAACTCGCGGAAACAATCAGCATCGTTTGTCTGACGCAGTTGTTCATTAGCAGCGTGCTTTTATGTATAATGGGTAATTAATATTTTGTAAAGAAACACGAAACAATATACAAAGACTTCCCGAGAGTCGAAATTTAGCGTCTACATTGAACCTCAATTCCTCTTTTTTTATGTAGGAGTAAGAGAGAAAGTAGATCCTACTTTGACCCTGCTATACGTCCGAAATTTTCTTTTTTCCCGCTAAAGTTTTAAAGCAGGGTTCAATTCTCAGATCGGACTGCGCATTGCAGGCTCTGATAGGCTCAAAGTAGGAGTAAGAAAAAAA